AAAACAATCACCACCCAACAAGTCAACAAACAAACAACAAACCACCACCCCAAATTACAGTAACTACTTGATCAGGGCATTTTCACTTCCTACTCTGTGAGAAATTCCACGGGTCATCTGACCTCTGTTGAAACTACACCAGGAAGAGGAGCAGCAGCAGTCGACACGTGCAGGGCGTTCTCTGTCTGCACAAAAGCCTCCCATGTGTGAGCCAGAGCTCAGAGCAGCGCAGGGGTGTGCAGGTGTGTGTACACATAGCAAGGTGAGCTGCAAATATCCTGCCAGCCAGGTCATCTCTTGCACAACTCTCTGGTCCTGTGCAGCCCGGCAGACCTTTCGCTGCTTGTTTCTAAACATGCCTCCAGAGCTTCTGAGGAGCTGTTTCCTTACGTGCTGTTTCCTCAAATGCTGCTGAAAGCAGCTCTCTCCAAGAAGAGGCGGTGGCTAGCAGCATGGTGGGAATAATGGCAATGAGGACGTGGATTGAGCCAGTGGTTGCAGGTTCCCAAGTGGCCAGTGCCTTCTACGACACAGCACTGCTGCTGGTAGTGAAGAACTACTACAACCAGACCAACAGCACTGCTCCCTCCCACATCCTGGAAGATGCTCAGCAGAAGGTTGTATCTAATTTTTATATCATCTACAACCTAGTTCTGGGCTTGAGCCCGCTGGTGTCAGCCTATGGCTTGTCCAAGCTGGGGGACAGGATACATCGCAAGATCCCCATCTGCTTCCCTCTTCTTGGTTATTTGGGCTCCAAAACTCTCCTGCTTCTCCTGATTCTGCTGGGCTGGCCAGTGGAGGTGATGTATGGGGCTGCTGCCGTCAATGGGCTGACAGGCGGCTTCACCACGCTTTGGGCAGGCATCATGGCTCTGGGATCCCTGCGGTCCTCTGAAAGCAAGAGGTCTCTGCGGCTCATCGTTATTGAACTGGTGTACGGCCTCGCAGGCTTTCTGGGAAGCATGGCATCTGGCTACCTCTTTGTTGGCTTCAGTGACCGCTATCGAGAAGGCACCGTGCTGGTGTGTTGCAGCATTGTTTGCTATGCCTTCTGTCTCCTCTACAGCATTTTTGTCCTCACAGTCCCCAAGCCAGCTTCCTGCCCAGCCAAAGCCAAGAGTGCAGAGGAGGTGGGTGGTCAGCTACCAGAAGCAGTGGTAGGAGGGAGTTCCCAGCCTTCAGAGAGCAGCATCTCCACTCCAGTGTCACCCTCAAAACTCATCATCATCCTGCTGTTTGTGGCAGCAATCCTCTATGACCTGGCTGTGGTTGGTGCAATGAATGTACTCCCACTGTTCTTGCTCAGGGAACCTTTAAGTTGGAATGCTGTGGAGATTGGCCACGGCAATGCTGCTGGGTATGTGATCTTCATTACCAGTTTCCTAGGGGTACTTGTGTTCTCCAGATATCTGAGGGATATTACCATGATCATGATTGGAGTAGCATCGTTCAGCGCTGGCATTCTCATCATGGCCTTCGTGAAGTGGACGTTTCTATTCTACATTGGTGAGTTGAAGAATTACTTATGTGAGCAAATACATTCTGAGAAAGGGGTGTTTCAACATCACAGAAAGAGCTTTTTGCTTTGCTTTGTGACAAATTTGCAAGCAGGGAGTTAGGCAGATAATCACATGAGCAATTTGCAAGAAAGTATTCTTATTCCTCTTTTCCCCCCATCTCCCTTAGTACTCTTAAGACTCAGCACTCTACAATATGCAGAGGAGGCATACACCTCTGCCAAGTATTAGTTTAAGGCTCATTGACTTGTAATTCATCAGCTGGTCACAGACCAGATCTGAGCAGAACAGTGTTCACACACTGATCAACTGGGAATTGTTGCTGACTCCCTGTGCGAGTAGGACTGCACCACCGCAGCAATAGGAAGCACTTGCTTCCTCTGAGGCAAGGCTTAAGGCTACAACAGAAGCAAAATGGCAAAGGCTTCCTATTGTGTGAATGTCTTAAGATGTGATTCGTTTTTGCCATATGAAGGCACTTACAGCTGATGGGAAACTTAATGAACCATTGGAGCTGTAAAGTATCACAATAATGTAGTTTACAAATCTCACACTAAGGGACAGGTAACAATAGATGGGGCAGCATCCCATGATAAAGGAAGGCAAGCTTACTTTTGGGAGCTAACCTCTGATGAAAAACAAAATCCAAGAACTGCATTCGTTGTGCCAGAGCTATCTCACAGAGTATCATCTATTGCATGGCTTTAAGGTTTTGCTTCTCAAAGTGAGAAAGACACTGGAGATAAATGTCCTAAAGTGATTTTTCTGACTGTCCCTGCAGGAATGGGAAATTGAAAATTAAACAAAGTTGTTCTAAAGGGAAAGATGATAGGATAGGATATTGTATTTGCATACTAAGCCAAACACTGAATGAAAATTTTAAGATACTTTATTTAACCAATCAAGCTGGGGGAAAAAAGGACAAAATTAAGTTAAAAAAAAAGTTTGCTTAATAATTCAGCTCATCTTCATCCTGAAGACATGCTGCTATGCAGTGTATAAGATGCTTACTCCCTGGATTAGAGAAACACCTTGGTACACTAGACCTGGACCATGTCTTCACTGAGGCTGGTTCTGCTGACAGGAAAGTAATTTGAGCTCCCTATAAATTTTCACAGTCAAGACAGGCTAGAATACTGCAAGCCAGAAGCATCAGGATACAAGACAGATGTAGTGTTATAAAAGTACTGTTCCTGTCAAGGCTGTGTAGCACAGGGGGGCTCTCTGCATGTTAAAACTTAAATCATCATCCTCACAATCTCAGAGAGTGAGGATCCCATCTATGCTGGGATGCCTGGCTAAGAACAAGAGACCGTGTCTAGTTTGATAATGGGATAATCCAAGGTTTATCTGCCTTGGATGAAGTGAGGACCCACCTCTTTTTAGTACTTTTTAGTAAGGGATGAGAAAAGGTGAAGCAAGGTGCCTGCCCAAGCCAGAGGCATGTAGTCTTCAAAAGCAGTGGTTGTGTTGGGTCACACAGTTATCAGTTTTGGTGGTAACTCAAAATTCATTGCATTACAGCACGAGCAGTAATGCTCTTTGCCCTCATCCCCTTACCAACCATCAGGTCCATGTTGTCCAAGCATGTTGAAGGATCATCCTATGGTGAGTATTTTGGTTACCTTGCCAACTAAAACCCCCTGAAATCCCTTTATTCAGCCTAGAGCCCTATGAGAAAGGTAAGTTATTGCTGCAATATGTGCTTTGTGTATTAATACCAGAACAAATGATACTACAAACAGGAAGGGAGAAGCAGAGAAACTTGCTGGACAAGATTCTCACATCCAATCTTCTTGTACTTGGTTGCATCATCATCTATTGACAGAATTCTCAGCACATACTTCAAAATATTACAGTCAGTGCATAGTTCAAAGGTGGGGAAAATAGCTGAGATGCTGCTCAAAAACACAGTACTGCAGGGAAAAGCAAGAAAACCAGGACATTCAGCTGAAGCACTGTTATATTCACACCATTTATATCTGGTTTCTTCAGTTTTGGGAAGGATGGATTATTTTCATCTTTTTTTTCAGTTGTACTCTCTAAATATTTCTTCAGGTGTTTGGCAGTTTGTTCCTGTCACACCTGATTTAACTACTAAGAGTAACTTTTGCATAAAAATTGACCCTTCTTGGAACAGCAGCTGGAATTCTTTTCCATTAAAATACGCATTACAAATTAGTAAAATGTATTCTACAGCAGCATATTGAGGCCTACCATTTTTACCCCAATGAGCTTGATTTAGACACAAGATACAGGACTGGCCATTCATTTAAACAGCACCACAGGCCCACAACTGCTCATTAACTCCTCCAAACATGTTTCCTCTGCATCCTTCACATCCTTTTCCCTTCTGCCATATGAACACGACAGTTCTCTGTCACCAGTTCATTCCTATGCTTGTGCTCCCTCAACATCCAGTGTAGCAAAATCATCAACCTGCCACAAACAGCACAGCTCACACCCCAAATTAATCATTATAAATCAAATGTTTTTAACCTCCTCCTTGAGCCATACAGGCTGCATATGATGACAGTGACAGTCCTACCTCAAGTAGGACCCTGCAGCAGAGCAGCATTTGCTCTCTGGTTGCAGTTTCATGTCCTGTTGCTGAGTGAATGCAGAAAGCACCCAGGACAGCAGGCTCAGCACACAGCCCTTACCTTGCCCCCAGACTGCAAGTCCCAGCTGGGCTGGGTTATTTCCCTTTCACCCATTTACCATATCAGAAACCCTTCAATGAAGAGTGCTTTCAACTAGAATTCAGTTTCTGCCACATGAAATATCATACAAATAACATACACATCCACATTCCAGGCATTATTCTAATTTCAATCCTGTGAACCACTTTTCAGGCTTAGGCCAGAAGCAGACACTAACTAAAATTTCTCCTGTCCTGAAAATGTCAGGTCTAGACTATTTTTCTACTTCTAGGAAAAGGAGCACTTATTGACCAGTTTATTGCTGCTCCTACAAGCAGGTACCTTTCTATGTAGACTGTTTAGGCAGATAGTTTTCCAGTTGAATCTTTTGTTTGACACTTAAAAGAAGGAAAAATAGTTTAATTGTGGTCTGGAACTGAAGCAGATACAAGCTCATGCCATCTGGTGTTAGTGGAGCAATGACTACACAATTGTGATCCTAGATTTGTCAGGGAGATACTACAGCTGGATTGTTAATCTCCAGCAATAAATTATGTTCTTGTCTTACAGGTAAGGTGTTTGTTCTGCTGCAGCTGTCTTTAGTAACCACGGGAGTAGTGACATCTACAGTCTACAACAAGATCTATCAAAACACACTGGACTGGTACAGTGGCTTCTGCTTCATTTTGTCTTTTCTAGTTGGCTGCCTGAGTCTCCTACCTTTAAGGTAAGAAATGGGAAAGATTTTGTGCAAAAAGACATATTGTATTTTCTCTGTACTTCCTGCTTCTAGGTCTAAAGTATATAATATAGATAGGAAATAATTTTAAAAAGAAAACAACCCCCCCCTCCCCCACCAACTGAATTTTTTTAAAAAGGGGAAAAAACAAAGAAACTTTCAGAAATGACAATTTAACAGCTAAAAATTCCAGGGGACAAAGCATTCGCACAAATATAAGTGTTTGGTATTGTGAAAATAGTAGTAAGTAGAATGAAGGAATAACCCTACACAAAGTAAAATGTTTTTTTAAAATCCCATTATATGTTACTTAACCATTGAGAGAGAAAAGAACAATATGAGTCTCCCTCAAATGTTTCAATGAGAAATCATTACCACAGTGAAGGAAAAAGTTACTTTCCTGGTCCATTGAATTTGCCCAACTGTACCACCATGGAGTGACTGAGAGGTACAATTTCAGAAAGAACTTTTAAGCACAAAAACTGCTTAATTTGAAGAGAGAAAGCTGTAACAACCCCTCCATCTACTTTTACAGAATTTTTTAAGGATCTCCCTCCAAATCTCACTTTGTCAATTAGAGCCTCCCCAAGACTCTCTAGTTTGTTGCTTTACTAGAAACAGCAAGATTCTTTCTGTATTAAGTGAACTGTGATAATGTCAATATTTAATCCATGTAACAACAGTCCTTACATTCAGATATAAGTCACATATTGGATAGGCTAATGCCTCATTCTAGGCAAAATTCTTGCCTAGCTCTGCTGTAGTTTAATCAAAATACAGTAGTACAAAGTCTAAAAGTACTATGTATACTGACTTTGGCTGCACCACCTAGAGGACAAAAGCAACACTAAGGAAAGCTCGTCTACCACCGCCTCTGTTTTATTCAGAGCACCAAAGGTCTTCCAGGCCTTTGAATGCATTTGACAATCAGTGTCTTCAGGACTATAAGTGTGGGGAATGCTACTTCCTACTCATCATGTCCCTGTCTCTGCTTTCTTCCTCAGATCTTCCAGTCATGGAGGACTTGTTTCTTATATGAAACCCTCGTTTTAACAGGGGTCACAGCTAGCTACTCAAATCCTTTTTAATACAGGCTCCAAATAAAAGTATCATTACCAGTACAAACACGGGTTATTAAAGGATGACAGATGGTGCCAATGTCATTGCACAGAAGAGAGGATGGCAGACCATTAAGACGAATGCCATTAGCACTCAGCCAGCTCCAGATACCCTGGCAAAGTTTAAGACATAGATGTGGAAAGAGCAGACTGCAGTTTGAGAAGGTAGTTTGCTAATTCTTACTATCTGCATTTTTTATTGTCTTTACAGCTTTGTGGCCATCAAACAATGGTCAACCACTGGCTCCCTTGAGATTCTGACTGAGTAACAGAGGCATCTTCTGGTTGTTATCATTAGTCCCTACCAACACAACAGGATACATAGCATTTGTATTTCCACTTCACAACATGTCACAACCTCCCAGCTACTAAGCTTGCCCAGGAAGAGATGTTTGCTTTGTTATTTCTGCAGGATGCACACCATCCTGCAGGGTCTGTGTATAAGCTATTGCACTCCAGCAGTCCTCAGAACATTCTGTTCTTTGTTATGCTGGTCAGCAATACCAAAGAGGCACAAGGATATAGGCTAGAAATGAAAATGACATTTCTAGACATATTGTTCAGAGTGGAAGTGGAAAGCAGAGGATTGGTTTTCCATTAGCTCCTTCTTGTTTGTTCATTCAGAAATCTCAGAGCCATTCTGTGACTTTGGCTGATGAAACAGGGCTGCAAGCCACATGCCATGTGCACAGGGCCATCAGCAGGACACACTGGTTCTCCACCTCCTAGAGATGCTATCAGCCCAGCCAATTAGTGTTATTTACAAGACCATTAAATAAATAACACCATAAAAATATGTAAGATTAACAGAATTTTAGTAATCCCCTATAATAAAACACTCCTGAAAGATGTTTATGTCCCTGATTTCTGGGGGAATGTCCCACTGTCCCTGGACTGAGCTCCTGCAAGGACTAAGACTCAAGAGCTAACGCTGATGTTTAAACTCACACCACCACATTGTGCTACTCTTGTCATAGGTAAGTGCAGCACACAGCTCCTACAGGATTTATGGAGGTGTAGGGACACTGATACCATGTAGTTGTTACCTCAGCTTTAATCTAGGTTGGAAAGGAACCTCATACAATGCAGCAATTAGCATGAGATGATGTCACATAAACCCAAACGTGTCAAAAGTGTGACATGTCTCACAAGGATGTGTCTGCTTGCATGCTAATTGAACTAAGAAGGGTTAAGCGGCTTCCAAGGTCCAGGACTAAGTAAAGGGAAGTTAAAAGCCCTTAAATAACTGAACTAATCTGGAGGCAAATCAGGCAGCTTCAGTTTGAGACAGGGGTATAGCAAGCAGAAGTTGGTTCATCACTACACAATCCCTTCCTTTGAGGAAGTTGCTGTCACCCTGCCTCCCACGCCTGTCCCCTGCTCCCCCCCGCCACCCCCGCCAATATCCCTCAGCTCCTTGAATTTCAGTACCAGAAGTAATGCAACAACAGGTCAGATGACTTCTATTTAGATCAACTTTCTATTTAGATCAACTGTGGAAGATTTTAGGGGAAGGGTATTTCTGCAGTAAGATAGTGAGCTGCTTAGCAGAATAAGCACACACATAATTTCACCAGTGAAGACTGCAAAAAAATGAAACTTTATTCTAAGTAAAGGAATAATCTTTCAATACATTTATTGGTCCATTCCATTAAATTAATTGAGGTAAACAAATGCTGCATTTTAAAAAAATGTACACAGTAATAGAGAATTACAAACAGTTTTACCTCAAAGCATTTTTCTCCATCAATACTAGCTCCATAGTAAACAATGCACAAAGTATATTTCAAGAGATATATGAAAGGGTATAGAAACATGCCAGCACCAGAAGGCAAGACAACATTTCCTAGCCTGCAAATCTGAACAAGAGCATAGTTGCCAGATTTGACCAAGTACAGGAAACAAAAGCCTCCTTCCCATTTTTACATCGTTTACAAGCTAATTCACACAGAGACAAATCTTTTCACAGCTTTCATTCTGTGTTTTAATGGTATGAACAGTGACTCTAGTTGTGGTAAGCGGATTTATAGAGTGGAAGCAGAAGAATCTGCAAGGAACCAGCACCATTTGGTCTCCATCACTGACACCTTCAACACAGTGTGTGAAGCTCACAGCCAGCTTGCCTTCATCTGCATGGCACAACTCTCCAGACCTTAGGGAGGGACAGAGGGATACAGGCACAGAGAAGTGAGAGAAAGGACGATGCTTCCTTATTTATGTGTACTGTAGACAAAAGCCCTTTGGCTCTTATTGTAAGACTGGCCCTCAGCAACTTGTCTCCTTGTGCAGTGGGAACATTGCACAGGCCACAATGCTGCAGCTTGATCTGAAGGTATGGATCCCAGCACCTGGGTTAAGGAAACGGTTTAGCTTTAAAGCATAGGATATAAAGACCTTCAAAGTAGTCTAGGACAGTGACTAGCCTTGTCTTAGCATGCCATTTACATAAGGGTGATCTACTTACACTTCTTTGGAAAGCTCATTATTATTAGCAAATTTATTGTGTTTTAGGTATGCAACCTTAAAACTTGTCCAGTTCATTACGAAGTACTTCTACAAGTCAGATACTTCATCAAGATTTTCAAGTGCTAAGCACAGAAATAAGCACTGCCGTTTTAGTTCGTAAATTGGTTCAACAGCGCTCCCAAAAAGTTTTAAATGCCACATTCAGTCTGACAGAAGGCAAGTTTATTCCTGTGATTCCCAGTTTTACTTCACAAGAGGAAAAAAAAAGTTCAACAAGTAGTAGCAACTTGCCTGTCTTTAAAAAAAAGTCCTGATTTTCCCTATGTATTGTTGTAATAAAAGTTAACAGACCCAAGGAAAGAATGTTCTACCTTCAGAATTAAGATGATAGAACATCTAATGAGCTAATTTAGTCTATACAATTTTTTTCAGTAGTAATCAGGACAAGGATTTTCAACAGTCTGCAACAATAATCATAAGGATATCCAGTTAAATTGTGCAAGTTTTAACAAAAGCATAGCTCCTCTTAATATAATGAACAGTCCCTGCTATCTGGGAAAGAATTCTTTTGTACCCATGCATCTGCAGGACTGACACCTGAAGAAATAAGTGTCATGAACAGACTATACAGAGCCACTGCTTCAAGGCTACTACACAGTGCCTCCACAGAACTGTCTTTGCCACTCATGCTTTGTTTCTATCAGTTATGCCACTATTTTATCCTTAGCACAAATTTTCGTGCAGCAAAAATCCAAGCAGATTTCAGTGAAGAATACTTTATTCTTTAATACAACTCACAACAAAACTGTTTGTGTCTTTATAGCTACACATATTACCTTTTCATTTTTCAGTGTATACCTGAAAAAGCCATGATGTTTTGACATCTATGTTTATTGCAAGATTTAGAACCTGATAAAGGTATACATGAACAATGCATGGTTCATTACTGAGCATAGAAACAAGATCTCAGTGCCTGCTTCATTGTGCTGGTGCCACTTAAGAGAAGAAACAAACACCACAGAAGCTATACAGAAGTAACTGGGCAGCAGTGAATTATGCATCCGCTGAGAGGGCCCTGCCCTAGCTATGGATTATGGGGAAAACTGGGCTGATTTAAGGACTGCTGAAAGAACCACATGTTAAATAGGCTCATAAAAAGGGCACCAGCTACTTTTGGTGTCATTTTGGTGCACATGCAGAGAGAGTCATCATCAGTGACTTAACACTCAACAAGTCACTCAAAGATGAAGCTCTTGCACTATTCCTTTTTCTCTTTACCAACATCTTCTGTTTCTCTCATGGAAGTGTGGACCAAAGTAAAGACTTATATTCTATAAGGATTACAGGATAACATATTAAGAGTTTCACTGTCATTTCAGGACTCAAATCTCCTTATAACAGCAGTTATGTGATACAAGTGTCACTCTGCAGGAATCTTACAGGAGTTTCCTGTAACTTTTGTAGTTTTCTTGACTAGCATGGCTGCCTTAAACATCACAGTTGGAATCCTCCCCACAGCCTCTCCCTCAGTTACCTTGTGATTTACAACAGGTCTTCATAAGAACAGACCACTCCACAGCCTGTAAGAACTGAAACCCACCTATGCACACCCTTATTACACTGCAGGAATTCTGGCAGAGAACTTCTCCTTTGAATGTCAAGTTTTACTTCCCTTGTAAGAGCTCAAGAAGTTTTGGTCCTGATCACATAAGTTATCTCGATCTTCAGCAGTTCCAGCCTCAACAGTTACATGCTGATTTGAACTTCACTTGGTACTCTCCACTGTCCATTATGCTTCTCATGACCAGCTGTGATGTTAATTGCTGAATTCTTCAGAAGAAACACCCACTTCAGTTTGACATAAAGCAAAGTAGGAAGTCCCTTAGTGTTGTAAGGCATCAGATGAAACTACCTGTAGGAAAAAAAATTGCCATTCTTTCTACTCATCTTGTGCTGTTTAATAAGATGGTGGGAAGACTGGGAAATATATTTTGCTTGAGATCCAGTGATGTTGTAGAATCAACTACAAAATTCCATTTATTCCATTTTCCTTTTGAATTCAAAAAGCATGTTGATCTTTCTTTGTGGAAAACAGGGAAGACTGTAACCCTGACTGTTAGACACTATGCAAGTGCTTATTCTAGATTGCTTCAAGATGATCTGCTTAAGTACTTCCCCTGAACAAGAGAAGTCTGTGATTCTCAATCTAACAGTAATTTAAACCAGAGTTCTCATTTACACCAAAAAGTGCATATTGACAAACTGATCTTAAAACAAGAAACATAGTTTGTTTAGTACCACAGAGCTATGGTGGCCTATTTTTTATAATGTCTTATATTGTACTTCTTCAAGCAGAGAGCACCATCTCATTAACCTGACAGCTACCACAGTGCTGCAGTAACTCATCTTAGGAGTTCCATAAAGCCACCAGGCTGAGAAGGGTGGCTGCATGTTCAGTTGGTGTTTATGAAGGAATAATTTCCAAATCAGACTAGTACCTGTGGGTTGTTACAAGAGAACAGAGAAGTTGCACAAAATCAATCACTGCTCACATTCTTTGCAAGAACGTTGCCAGAGAACAAGTAATCACTCCAACTTAGCAGTAAGCACAGAGTTATTTATTGCCCTAAATCCCAGTATTACACTCATATGAGTCCCAACTCCCCTCACTAGGATGTTTAAATTACGTCAGCATTTCTAAGGCCATTAATACCAAGCAGGCATTTACTTGAGGTTGGACTGCAAGAGCAAGGACAAAAAAGGGACTTGCAGAAGCAGCTGCAATTCTAAAGGCCAACAGAAACTACTAAGAAAATAGACCTGTAACAAAAGTAGTCCTAAAAGACTTGCCATGTGGTTCAGCAGAGAGAGGTATGAACACTAGGTGTACCTAATAGGGTACCCATCTATCCCCCACCAACCCATTTAAGGCAAGTTTCACACACTCTGATGCTTGGTGGAAGGAAGCATTGGACACCTTTTGGCTGCTGCAAAGAAAGCATGGGGAAAGAAAAGAGTCCTCCTTTTACTGCAGCAGGCGTCTTAGGTGACCAAGCCTAAAGTGGCTCTATTAAAACCCATATATAAAGCATGATGTAAGAGATCTCCACCACGCAACTTCCAGAGCTAGCTTGGGAAAATTCAAGACTCATACCTCCTCCCCCATTCCCACAACCCCTGAAAGGCCGCAGTCCAACTCATTCCTGCAGCTAGGCTGGTTTTGATCCCCAAGTCAGTCACAAGTACACTTCAGTCAACTGACATTACTTCATAATCACCAAGGTAAACAAAGATACTCAGTATGAACCAACAGCATGCCACACTCACAAAAACCACAGTTCATGCTTCCAGTCACCAGCTATCTGTAGCTGGTGTTGTATCGTCTATCAAGAACCAGCCCGACTCCCAGAAAGAAAAGTCTACAGAGACCATTTCATCCAGAGGGAGCAATGGGTGGTAGCAAAACAGAAAATATTCTTTCCCAGCCTTTCATTTTCCATTCAAAAAAAAAAAAAAAAAAGGATAAGGATTGGTTAGGGAGTACTGTATCACAGAAATAATTACGAACTGATTTTTTTTAAGCAAACAAAATAAATGGTAATAAAGATGTCATTTGGCACCTTGCAGTAGAGTTTTATTTTCACCTTTTTAGTGTTCCACTCATCAGCTCCTTCCAGACTAGAGAGGTAAATTTTATCAAGATCCCCATGCACTTTCTCTATGAACCCCAATCACTCCATAGAATAAAGAAGGAACCATTCAAGATAACTCAAAAAGATGAAACATACCCCAATTTAAACACAAAAATTGAGGAAAAAAAAATTCAAATCAGCTGGAACAGATACTCTGAAAAACTAAGTGCAGCTGTCATTTCAGTTAACTTAACAAAAAGAGTCCTCCATACAGTTCCAGTATGCCTAGTGGTACTGAGCACAGAAGTGCTAAGACTGTCCATGAAGATACTTCTTATTTGGTCTCTGGCTTGTCTTGCAATAGTGGTATAATTGACTCCCACGCCGTAAGGCACTGAAGAAAGAAAGATTTACAAAATTTAATTTGTATCAGTTCATATAATTTCTGACCAACCCTTCCAGACCAACAGCATGCAAGAAAAGTTATGTGGGTCTTTATAGATTGTTACAGAAGGGAGAAAAAAACAAAACGTCAAACAGTAAGGAAGTGTTGAATAGCTGCACCTTCCAAATAAATTCAACAAATTCAAGTTTTCCAAGGTCATTAGCTGACCCAAGCCATTAAAAATCATCAGAACACCCAGGATTTCTAAATACTAACCTAGATTTTTCTAAACTGAAGAACACCACAGCTTTCAGCTAGGCAGATGAACTGTTTTGAATAGAAATTATGTACATCTTCCGCGTGACTGTGGGTGAAGGCTGATTTGGACACAGTTGCAGTGTTACAGACTAGCTCCAGCAAACTTATTTGAAAGAAAACATGCATTTAGGGAGGTTAATTCTGAGACACAGTGTATTCCAGTATTGGCTCTGGGACTTGACTCTACTACATGGAGAACTGCTAGTGCCTGGTATACAGTGTAAGTGTAGCTTCTGGGTTATTAAAAGTCACTCCAGGCTTTAGAGTCATTTTCCCAGATACGTACACTTACTACAGTCCTTGTACTGTGTGTTGTTACTGTCTTTCAACCACATAGAGCCCAGAAGTCAAACTGGGCAAGTGCAGACTGTGGAATCCAAATTAATAAATACTGGAAATGGGCAAATTCATCAGCAGCTCTTATATCCACAACTCTTCGTTGACAGACATCCTCCTTCTAACCTTGCTGACTGTACTGCAGATGAATAGTGTACTTCTAGTTGTGTACCCTGAAGTGACTGGACACCTTCTTACCAAAAAACCTTCCTTGCTAAAAGCAAAACTAATGTACAGATCTAACAGTCAACTGCAGAGGCACTGCTGGATGTTCAGTGGAGTGTCTAATATCCCCTTCCATGGCAGTCTTAGAATTGAGAGACCAGGGTGAAGGACATTCTGTGTGAGCAGTTGTGAACAAGACAGACATTGGAAAGGGAAAAGGTACTGCATACTAATATTACATGGAGAGGTAATCTAGCAGAGGAAAAAGTTTGTGAAGTAGATGTGCAAAAATGAACAGACAAGATGAAGTATAGTTTACTAGGCAATGCATAAGCCTAGTAGTTCTAGTAGTGCTTAATATTTTATAAATATTTAATATACCTAATGGAGACTTATAAGACAGCTGGAGGAGGGCTGTCTTATAGGGCTTGTGGTGGTAGGACAAGGGACAAGTGCTTTAAACTGGAAAAGGGCAGGTTTAGATTAGACAATTAGGAAGAAATTCTTTACTTTCAGGATAAGAAAACACTGGAACACCTTGCCCAGAGAAGCTGTGGATGTTCCATCTCTGGAAGTGTTTTCAGTTCATACCGGATGGAGCTCTGAATAAACTACTCTAGTGAAAGGCATCCTTGACTCTGGCAGGAGATTGAAACTTATATGACCTCTAAGGTGCCTTCCAAACCATTCTGTGATCTATGGTATCAACCACTGCATTGGGCTGCACTGTTCTAGCACAAAGGAAAATTAGATTGGAAGCATATGCAGTTAAATGTCAAAGTCCTTTTAATTAAAAATAAAAAAATCTAACACTAAATCTCAGGTACACATGCATCAACTGAAAAAGGGCAGAGGCTAGGTGTTTTCAGGACTAGTATACAAGGCACAGAACGATGAAGGGATTAGAATAATTTATACACAGCAGATGTAATCTATATATGTGTCTGTGGATGTGCATTAACTCACGTAGTTTTGTTCAGAAAAGGCAGAATCAAGGGATTTTTCTACTGTTGTAGTATTACTAGTGTGTGCAATTCTGGGTTTTATTTCACCACTACTTCTGCTGCTCAGTAATTTGTTCAATTCAAAAGTGCAAAACAGACAAGCATGCATGATAAAATGCTGTTAAGAGTGCTGACTTGCAAAAGACCATTAGTCTTACAGAGTTCACTTGATCACAACTTCCAACTCTGACAAACAGCAGCTTCAGATGTCTAATATTCTTGTCTTCAAGACAGTGTGAAGATTTCCTGAAGAATTATCACCATTTCAGAGGAAAATAAATGACTCTTATTCCTGCCAGTACTCCAACAGTGGCACATACCTTCTCGTAGTACTGGATGTTTTTATCTGCCATCCCCATAAGTAGCTGCCTAAAGTCTTGTCTTTTGTTGTTCTGCCATCTCTCCATATCTGCTTTCAGGTCAGCATTGAAACACTCTACTCGGTCTTGACATTTCTCAACATCTGCAGGTACCTGCAAGCAAAAGAAATGAAGATTAAAACTGTCAGTAAGAGTGCTAGATTGCTGAATTAGCTCAAATCTTACTGAGCAGAACTACAGAAGAAAGGGTAAGTTCACAATCCAGTAGTTATCCTGAATCAACACAGGTATGGCTGCAGGGAAAAAGTAATGGTTCTGACCTTAAGAGAATATGAAATTGCTTAATTTGTTTGTTGTATGAGGTAGTAAGCACTTGTGCTTGTCCATCTCCACGTCTGATATAGAGGCATGGAGGAAGCACTTGCTAAAGGCACAGGAAAACCATTTGGTCTAAGTACTGAGGCTCACTTCCTAGTGCTCAAACTGAGCAACTTGGCTTCACAGCAAATGTTTTTGCTTCCCATTTACAACTGCATTAAGAATGTCCCAGTTTACACCACTGTGTATATAACAACAAATATTTAGGTTTATGAAAAAAGGTGGGTAAGACACCTTGGTATTGACAGCTGCAGAATAAAATTTCTAAGTCCTTAATTTCTAGCTTCCACTTTTAACCTTACAGGCTTCCTGTACAAAATTTAACTGCAAAGCACTCGTGATCATCAAAATGGGATGGACTCATGGACTTTTAGGTTCAACAACAGACACATAACCATGCAAAAGCAAGAAATTACATCTTGAAAGACATCCTGCTGCAAGCTGAAGTAAAGATTTAAATTAATTTTTGACAGTAGTCACTTGCCCAAGGTACACACTTTACACCAACTAAGTTGGTGTTCTTTGCTTGTGTTTTAACTAATATAATGTATACCACTAGGCAAATGCAGGAATAATTTACAAGTGTTTCCTCAAGCAGGAAAGCCAAACACCATTTTTTTCCCTTCTCATTGCTGCATGGTCCACACAGATAGGAATTCTGTAAGGACATGCAGACTAAGCCCATGAGCTCAGAAGAAGAAACTCCTGAATCCTCATAACAAAGTGAGAAATGAATTTTTGCTCTGGAAGCTGTGACTTGCACAAAGGGAAAATAAAGAATTAAGAACATTTTAAGAACTTTTGTGGTGGCTCCTCTCATACTTGCTACTTTAGTAAAGACCCTTTCTGAGGGGCATGAAAGAAGGAATATGACAAACAGAAGAAGAAGCTTTTCATGGATACCTACATGAAGTTAGAGGTGGGCTACTATCTTGCAGTTTGGCAAGGTACTCAATTTAGGCAGAAGCACAATGACTGTGTTTCTGCTTCAGGACATGGATTATGGTTGATCACTTTATTACTCAGAGGTCTCATACCTATTCTTCAATAAACCAACCTGTTTCAGATCTTTATGAGCTCTTTATACTCATGGGATTTGAGTTCCCCTTTATTCACACAAATGTATTTATACTACAGGCAGCTTGGAGGTTCAGTAGACACTTTTTCTCATTGCTATGTCTGAGCACCATACTTACAGCTACAGAATTCACTCTGCTGCAACTCCAAATTAAGTTCCCTCACAGGCTGCAGACAAGAACAACCAAGCCAATGACTGGAAGGTTTAGGGACACTCCCCTCAAGGCATGTACGCCTTGCATCATAAATACTCTGCTATCTTAATGGAAAAGGCTAAGCTATCAAGAGAAATATTTATAAACTCTGGAAGCAAAACCACATAAGATTTCCCAATCCAACTAACTTAGTTTCTAAGCATTCACCAGCTCCCTGCTTCTTCTGCCAGGATCTGAAACCACAATGAAGATATGCAAAATTTTGTCCTTTGTCACAGCAACTTCTCTGGCTGGTCAGGCTCAGAGGGCTGTATGAGTTTAGAGCTACAGGGATAACCCAGTGGTCAGCAGATGGACCACGTGTGGTCTCACTAAGGAAAAACAACAACTAACACCAACTAAGTCACCAAAAACATCATGAAAGTAGTGTCTGCACATGCAGCTGTACTATCTGGGTGTGCAAATGCCTTACCTTACAAACTGCAGCTTCATGGTACATAAATTCCAACTCAGTAGTTACAACAAAATTTAAAGTTAATTAACAGCTTTTAAGCACCTTATATCAGTGCAAACTCAAATGCAAAAGATATTATATGTTTATCATCAAATTTGGGCATAAGTTGAAGCATCAAAGCTGATGCTTTTATCTGTTTTTACCAATGGAGACAATAAATACTAGCTAACAACTAAGAACCAGGAAGAAAGTAGATTGGACTCAGGGGGAATGCTACTTCTTTACTGATACCTGCTCTCAGCTACTTAATAGCTCAAACACCCCTCAAGCCACAAAACCAAAGTGACAAAAAGGACCCAGGATTGCTTTAGTCGTCAATTTCAACTGATGAGAGAGGTATATACACAGGCAAGAACTGAACATAAAGTTGTATATGATAAGATGTTCTGTGTTTGCATCTAATCATCTTCACAATGATTCTGTTCTCTTAAAATCTAAGCTTGCCTAATATATCTGTGATTTGGTGTGGTCAATTACAAATAGCATGTCCACTTTAAAACTTTTCTACATCATCATTACCAAGTAACAAATGGTCCAAAAGTAGAACAAATCCAGCATTAATTAGACAACTTATCTTTGCAGAAGATATTTCTATCTTCCTAGCTCTTGGGAAACAGTTACCTGTTACAAGGTCTTTTTTCCCCCACCTTCTACTTCAAGTTCTGCAATGCCATATTCCCATTGATCACCACACTTCAAAGCCTTGAGGTAGACAGAATAAAACAGATCATCAGAGGCAAACAACCTCACCAAAACAAAGCCACACCCATCCTTCAGTGTGCTGGTTAGATTACTGCAAAATCAGCTCCAGCATGGGTCGGAAATGAGTGAGAGGCATTTCACCACTGCACATGTTAGAAACTGAAAGGCTGAAGACTCCACACAAACCATGGTGCTACTGGTAAACACCACCTACACTGTGCTTTTGGTATATGTTGGAACTCAAAATGTCTGTCAGACATTTTTAGAGGTTCCAGGCCTTGGTCAGAAGCATTCTAGACCCTGGCAGGTAGCTGGAAACAGCTGTGATTTTGAGTTTGAGCATGAAATGAGTTACCAACTTTGGAGGTAGAACAAGCAGTCACAAAGGGTTAGATAGTATAGTAAAAGTAGTTACAAAACAGAGGGGAAAATGTTTTAGTATTGTACAGGGGGGTTTTAGCACATGTACAGGGGGGTTTTTACTTTGTACATGGGAGTCAGAAGTTCTAAGATGGAGGAAAGTGGGGTCATCCTGTCCTTCCTCCTTCTTCTTCCTTACCCCCATGTTCTTGGTGATGCTGGCACTCACAGATTGGTTTAGAGTAGAAAAGCACTTTGTAATATAGGTAGTAGGTATTGGGGGAAAACTATAAACATGTAATATGTAATATATAATATAAAAGATAGCAGCAGCCCTGGTTGAGGGGGGGAGAAGAAGAAGACACTGGACAGTGAGGGTGTCAGTGTGTGTGTGTCTCTGCCGGGGCCGCTGATCAAACAGCCGCAGCCCGCGAGCACAATCTGTTAGATAACTCGCAATAAACTGCCTTGAGACTGAACAACAAGAGGCTGCGGAGTTTTTCTTTGGGAGCACGGGTTGGAGGAGAAATTTCACAACCACATGGGACCCCAGAGCAAGCCCGGGGTTCCCACAGGTATAAGCTTCAGCATTCTGAGCACTAGCTGCTGACAGAGAGCCACAGTAGCACTACAAGCCTACTGCACTCATAGGCCACTGAGCTCTAGGCTGTTCTCATTGCCAGAACAATCTAATGGCTTGGTGAGCTCTGTGATGCCAGACTGGGTATGTGCACAGGAGACTCAGAATGCCCTCCACTGAGATTTTTCAGTGATAGGCTTGGCTTTCAAGATCTAAACAAAGGCCTTTGTTCTCTTATGGTTTCGTCTGGGATCTTTTTACATCATTCCTACCAAATCAGCAAATATGCCAAGGAAGACAAACACCATTCCACAACATGACCCTCAGTGCTTTTAGTTTCCAGCAAGTCATAGCCAAGAGACCTTGCTGAATATAAGATATTGCTGCTAGGCACAGCTCTGAGCGATCAGCTCTTACAGGTAGTGACACATCCTCCAGCTGGAAAGGTTCTGAAAACCCCAGAGATAGTATTTTGTGAACATGCAAGGAGTTCTCCACAGTTTGTTCAACTTAAGTCTTGTAAATGACACAAACTACTTACGTTAAAAAAGGGTACAAGAGCTGCCAAAACTATTCTGATACTATGGAGAGGACATGTAAGTATTCAAAAAAGTATTCTAAAAGTTATTCAAAATAATCCCTCTGAGATATGAGATCCAAAGGACTTTTAACATGTACAAGATTAGCAAAAGGCATAAATTCCACTGCATCAAGATCTTGGTACAATCAAATGCCTAAGAACTGACTTGCTGGATATGCTAAATTTAGTTCCCTCCATCCTAGATAAAACTGTTAACACCTGCTTACACAAAGCTGCATTGAGGAAGTAGAGTGTATACCACACCAGCCAGCAGAGGGGCAAGCAGTAGACCCAAATACAAGAGCACCACAAAACACGTAGTAGCTATTTGTAGATCATTAAAGACAAAAATCAGAAAAATACTTTAGCACTTCTATGCTCTCATCCTCTTCAGCTTCCTAGATTCAAAATATTATGTGAACCTTACTGTAGAGTGAACCTTACTGTATAGTAGTCATAATACTGGAAAGTTATCCATTAATTATTCACACAAATACAGGGGAAACCAAAAACCTCCAAGCAGAGGAAGGGAACAAATCCTGTTGCCATCATCAGTTAAAATTGCAGCGATTTAAGAAAAGGCTCTTGCACTCTGTTTTGTGCAGAAGCAGGTAGCAGCATAAGCATGTCAGTTCCCAGTTTTGCTTTTGCATGGTGCCCAGGCAAAACCTGTAATCCACTGACACTCGCCATCTCTGTTCAGCATCATACAGGTAGAGCACCCTAGCAGAAAGGGCAAAATAAGGAGTTTTCCACAGCCAAAACCAGTGTTCTGCAACAATACAGTTCCACAGTGCCAGGAATAGGACTTTAACTCATCTAACTGGCATACTGCTGAGTCACCAGGGACTGTTCTACCACTGCTTTGTTAACCTGTCACTGAATGGTCTAGCTAACTGCTAGCTGTTGTTGAAGTGTTACAGAGTCATCCTGCTCTGAACTGTGAGAGATCAGTAGTTCAGAAGTTGCTAGACAAGTTACATATATTCACATTTAGATCTTTATTTCACACCAGCTTGCCAACAACAAATTTCTGTTCTGCCAGAAACTGTGTATACTGCAAAGAAGCCCCCAGATCCAGGAAAAAATCAAGTTCTGCTTCTCCATTCTTTTCAGGAAGTAGTGTAAGTGCAAACTGTTTTTGTAGAGCAATTTTAAGTACTAACCTTTGGACGGTCTTCTCTTTTCAAGGCTACTGCTTCCAGTTTTGCTTCATACTCCGCTTGAACTTGGTCCCTCTTCTTCAAAACATTCTATGGGCAAGAGAAAAGAGAGCTGTGAAGGGATCCTCTTGTTCCTTCCCGCAGTCCACACAAAACACTAAAGCAATACATCTTCAGTGCCAATTAAGCCCAAAGTCAGACTTCCAGATTTACTCTGTCCTATTTTACAGGATTTAGGGAGTAGCTTTTAATAACAAAGAGCACTTGCTCTCCATCAGCTGGCAAGGGCAGATAAAATTCAACATCTGGACAAGCTGGAGGCATGCAATATAGAAACTATCATGAAACCACTAATATAATCCTGACCAAGTAAATTTAATTAATCAGTTCACCTATTACTACCACGAAAAGGATATAAACAAAAGCTTCAAAGCTGAAAAGGACTAATGTAAACTTTCTGATATCCCCAAGCAGCACACAGACAACAGCATTGGCTAAGATACAGAAGACCATCACAGAAGGTATTACAGCTTCCTTTTCACTTGCAAAGACTCTTCAGAATCCTTTTAAGTAAGCTGTCACATTCTGGTGTTAGACTTACTAAAAAATTAACAGTTTTGCAAGAATTTGCAAAAAATTAACAGTCTGCAAGAGGAGGCAACTTACCACTTCGAGTTTCACAAAGAAACAACTAGTAGTTTTTAATTACTGTGTTGATACAAAGTCATTATTAAAAACGCTCACAGGGAAGTCAGCTAACACCCTCTGCAAGTTTGATATTGTCTTGCAGCTTACTTGACTTTGAGTCTTCCCTTCTGCCACCTAGAAGGAATTGTCTCATTAAGACACCAAGCGGAAACTAGTCACTTCAACAGGCCCAGAGAAGGCTTGTAACACAGGACTAGTCATGCGCACTGCTGCCTACAGAAATGTGTTTTTAAAAGATTAAGTCCTGGGAGCTCTAACAGCCAGTCTGTATCTAATTAACAGCAATTAAGGACATACAAATCCTATATCTACTAATCATCATTATCCCTCTCCTCTTTCTTAAGCCAAGAGAAGATCACCAACGCAGTTGCTCTAGAGTAGATATGTTCAATCCATGATAAATGGGAATGGCACACCATCCACAAAGCTATTGACTATTAGTGTTGGGGAATCCACTACTTCCCTGGAGACATTATTCCAAAAGATGATTGTTCTCATTGAGAAAATTTTCCTCTTGTGTTCAATGAAAATGTCCCAAAGAGTAATTTGCACTGATTGTCTCCATTTTTCTATGGGTCTCCTTGTGAAAAGGGAGCTTTAATCATATTTGTACTCAATCCTTAAATACTGGTAGATGGTGATAAGATCTTCCCTAAGCCTTCTTCCTCATGGTTGAACATACTCAGCTCCCTCAGCCTTTCCTCATACAGCAGGCTTTTCAGTCCCCTGACCATCTTTGTGGTCCTCTTCCAGACCCCCTTCAGCTTATCCACATCTTCTTGTGTGCAGCAGGGATAAAAACTGAATACAGCTGTGGCCTAACCAGTGCTGAGCAAGACAAGTAATTTAGGAAGGGTCTCTTCTAGACACTTCCAGCGCACATTTTAACTCAAGGCCACAACACCATCTTCTGCCCTGTTCTGCAAATCTTTCAAACAAATCCAGAGGCTAGGCTTCCCTCAAAACAGCTGATATTCTATTCAAACAGAACTATTGGGCTTTGACTCCACATGTGCAGTTCCCACAGACTCTTCCCTTTCGGTACAACAGTGCTCCTGAAGACAAGGGCTCTTCATCTGTGAACTTCAACAATAATCTGGCAGCTCTTACTCAAGGGACATTCAGCTATAGACTGCTCTATAGATCATGTTCCCATACCTACACCAGGGGTACAGTGTACAACAAAGAAAGCTAATCAAGGCTGCACTGAACTCCTAGTACCTAAATAGCTACCTTCCATCAAATACCCTGTGCAAAAGATATGCTCTGAAAGAATGAAACAAACTTTCATCTCACAAGTAGTCCTCACAGCAGCTGATGAAGAGGAATGAGCTGCTAGTGAAGAGGACTACTCTTTCAAGAGAAAGCCTCCTGCACTACAAGGGTGCACTCCTTACTAACCTTGGTTACTCACTTAGCATTATGGATCCTGCATGGACAGTTCGGTAGCTGCTCACTTCAGAAACATAAACAGGCTGATGTTTGCTAGCATAAGAAAACTGTGCTTTGTAGAACCTGAGAGAGTTCAGTTTTGCTATCTGAGAAGGAAGGAAAATATAAACCGTCTGTCTTGGCCAACAATAGCTTTTGTTCTTGATTTCCAAATTTTCAGACTGAGTAAAGCTAGTAAGATGTCCAAGCCAGACACTAAACAGCACAAATCTTTAGAGCACTAGAAAGTCAAGTCAACAGTTTAAAAAGTTTAAGCTAAAAAGCAAGGGTTTCTTTAGCTGACTAAGTACTTTAGACAGTAAAGTAATTGTTGGGTTGGAGACAGTGCCATTCTAAAAGGGCTGTAAAAGGCCAAAAGGAAGCCTAAGTTCAAGTCTGTAATGCTGCTCTGCCTGTGGTGAGTGGTGATTATCTGCCTAAAGTACCTTTTCAGCTAAAGAAACCCCATCTTTCAGCTTAAAAAAATTTTCCCTGCTATATTTTTGAAGAGGACCTCTTACAATTTAGCTTGCCCCTTCAGATGCCATCTTTGGTAGACATTTTTTAGCATCAAAAGCCAGATGTTCTGAGTTAAAGTATTTAATCACTAGCTTCACGCTCTATTTATTTGTAAGCACATTCCATCCACCTCCACTTCCTACAGTCAAAATATCCTGAGACAAGGCTTCCTACAGCTCACTGTGTTCAAACAATACTTTAGTGTTAATAGACCCACAAAGAAAATATACCTCATTCATGCTGGGGTCAAATCCATAGTGACAAAAGCAAAGAATTTACCCAGGGAATTAGTGCAAAGCCACCCGCAAGAATACTTTAACCACACAGATGTACAACTCCTGAAGCTGGGAAAAGCCATCTACAAGAAAGTGTTTAAATTCTCAGTTTGAGAAGCATAGGACTACCATATCCAGACTGTAAATTTACTGTGGGCTATCAGATCTGTAAAGGAGTGCATATCACAGCCTTGTAACAGTTGTTCCAAGAGGAAGGTCCTCAGGAGGAACTTGTCTATTAGTATCTCATAGTGGGACTGCTATATATATATATGTATATATATATATGTATATATATATGGCACACATACTGTGCCACAGGCATGTGGTGAAAAGCTCTGATAGACAAACTAAATTCCTTGATGTAATTTTTTAGTGAAGCTTTCTCAGTAATTCTTTTCCCCATTAGAGATGTGATTGATTACCAATGCTCCATAACTTCAGGAGAATAAAATCCACATTGAAGTAGCTTGTATGACATCTGCATAAGCAGTAAAATTTCAAATTCTTAGATTACGAGTCACAGAATACCACCTTTAAGCAGTTACTTGGTATGTCGAACTTAACAACAGATGTATGCCTAAGGTATGGGGATGACAGAGGAAGCAATGTCTGTCATTTGGACACATGGTTCTAAAAAAGGCACTTAACTCTGCTACATACAAATGACAGAAACTGTTAATGCTATAATTCCTCTTGGACCCATCAGTGACCCTGTAGTGAAAAGCTGACACACAGCTGGCTTCATTTCAAAGAAAGATTCTAGGCAGCCACAGGATATCTCCTATAGAGTACCACTAGCCAAACCAATGAAGGGGCAACTGCAACATTTTGTGTACACCCCACAATACTTGACTATAACTTAACTGAAGAGCAGAGCAGACACATAATGCTACTTATGCAGTACCCTGCTATTAAACATACTTAGCTTTGACTATAAAAATATCCTCCTACTTTTTACTTCCCCACTCTCCCCACAGCCACCATTTCTCCCTGTTAAAGAAGAATGAACTCACTAATTCTACGCAAACACAATGACAATGCTTTCAGTCACAGGGCTCTCTTTACCTTCATTGACTCAGCATACAATATATATTCCCTAAGTACAGGCAGGAAGTCTTCTGTCATGTCCTCACTGAGTTCTTCAAGAGCAGTACAGCAATTCCCAATACAGGCAGACACTCCTTCCAGTGGCTCTGATAGGTCAACCTCCAGCCCTCCCCAGGTTGAATAAACAGGTCCATATTCTCGTAGTTCCACCAAGTATTCTACAACAGGCAGATGGAAAAATAGATTAACTGAGTAAGAGCAAGGCACAAAGGTGTGCAAACACAAAATGGGAGAAATTATGCACCAATTTTGAGTAACATTGATCCTCATAGGGAGTCAAGGCTTATATTGCATTAGCTTCTTAATAGACAGAGCTCTATGGCTGCACAGGTGGTAGGTTCAAGTTTCTTCTTTCTTACTTAACCATTCTTACAAACTTCCAATATAAAGACTCCTGTACATGTGCAGTACACAAGGTCAGTTTTTTAAACATACGTAAAACCTAACTCAGTAAGACAGACTTGTAAAGCTTGTCTTTGTCTAGGAATTACATTTGTACTCCTCCAGGTGGAATATATAGGTTCTTTCACCTTCCAAAAGTCTTTCAAAAAATTACTTCAATAAGACAATAGGTCAGTATAAAAAGTTCAACTTTAAAAAAATATTTGGAAAACTGAGTTATTATCAGATACTGTGTTAGGCTTTAGGCCTTTTTAAAATTGGAAGCAGGCATTAGATTTTGCTCTGTGTGTGACGTATATTACAGGCCAGAATCATCAACACGAATTGTCATGATCACGCTATCAACCAGAGTAAGACACAGAGCATTCAGACTGAAGTATTATGATGGAACACCTTGTGTCCTTACCCAACTGCTCCTTGATGATCCGTTGTGCTATTCTGTCAATGGTACCAAGCTTTAGAGAGAATGTGTCCAGATAATCCCCAATGGCTGCAAACTCCAGTGGCCGAGTTCTTAATTTGTAGCCTCCTGTTACGTATTTGACAGACTCCCCCATCTTGGACAACAAAGCCATTCCTTGCTTTTTGTAGGCATTAAGATCCTAGGAATTAAAACAAACAAACAAAAAAAATGAAACAAAAAAAGAATATATTTAAGAATTCTCACTTACATGTTAAAATATCAATACAGTGAAGGAAACTTTCTAGTCAAGATGAAATCTTGTGAAAGCCACAGATTACATGACAGGCAGCCTTGAATCTTGAATAAAGGCTTGCTTTCTACAAGCTGCACAGCTGAGCACAGCGTCAAGGCTCCATGGAGGTAAATTATCCAGGAGAATAGTATGAAGCACATTGGAAATAAGTAAGTAGACAAACTTTGCATGTGGCCATTACTTTCCCATTTTCCTGTACTCTCACCAGGGAAGCAGGCTTATTAACAGATCTGGTTCCACCAAAACAGTTCACATCATTCATCTACACATACTTCTAAGTTATGGCTACAATACCACTATTAAACAGATGCACCAGCTGGCTCTAATGACCTACTACAGAGCTACACATTGCACATCTATTTGGAAAGCAGCCTCCTCACTCCAGTTCTGTGGTCAAACAAGACGCAGGTGAATACTGTGTGCAGAAAAAATGCAGCATGAGGAGACCAGCAAAGCTTTTCTGCAAGAAAAGCATCTGGGTCAGATGCATCCATGTTGCTGCACAGAAAGTGTAAAACTTCCTTCAAACTCCTTTACACATTCACATAAACCAACGTTCAGATTATCTATGCTAACAAGACTGCTTGCCTACAATTTTCATTTTTTTAAGGGATTTCACCTTAACAGTAAACCAGAAAAAAATTGGTTTAGTTAGTCAAAACGCTGACAATGTTTCATTTTACTTCTTCCAGCAGAGGTCAGTATTCAACATCTCAAAACAGGCTCAGGAGCTATAGTTTGGTTATATCCTATAGAGCCTGAGGAAGAGATGTGCTCAAAACACGCAGGCTGTAGAGATCAAGAATTCAGACATATTATTACATACGAGACTAAAAGCGTAAGTGTTATTTAAAAAAAACCCCAACAAACAAATAAACAACAGCCATTTTCAAAACATGTAGTATGGTATTCCTTCCAAGTACTTAATGTAAGTCAAATATAAGTCTGATTAAGAAAACCTGACATGTTAACAGCTACTATAATTTTCAATTATGTTTGCATTTAAATGCCATTTGATTTTTACTTTCCTCAGCATGACCTGCAAGCAGGCATCAGAAAAGATCCTTGAACTCAAAATTTTTCACTCACTCTCAAGCATTCTGGTATGTTACAGGTCCAAACAGGGAATACGAAGAAACATTGGTTTCTCATCTTCAGCCAGGAGCTGACCTTACAACTTCCTGTAGTAACTAAATTCTGAAATCCTAGCACACTGAACTGACACCTCACTGCTCCAGTAAACCAAACTCAAACAGTTCAAACTGTCAGCAGGACAGGTGTCCTGTCCCCTCACCTCCCAGGATGCTCTGCAATCTCAAGGCAAACGCTTCATAAAGTGGATGATGAAGCCCCTGACATTCATTTCACAGGGATGGCAGAAGACAAATAAAACAGCTAAGAAAGCTGCATCAGGCTTGGACAGATCAAAAGAGGAACAGAGCTATATGACATTTAACATGCTAAGCAAATTCTGCACTTCTGGCTTGTTTCAGTGGTTAATTTTACCATTGAGGGGAAATAAAAATACTGGAAATTGATTATTAACGGCAAGCAAAGCATGAACCTGAAGTGAGCTCAAACATCACATTTAAGTGAGATAGAGTAATGTGACTTTGGAAAGGCATACTTTTACAGCACTTCTCACCTATCTGGTAAAACCCAAGCATAACTACAAGTTCTCTTAGTCTTATTTGAAATGCAGCTCTAAACAAAGCCAAAGAAAATTGCACTATTCCTGCATGAGTCATGCAGAAGAGAAAAGTGAAATTGTTGGCTGAGAACAAATAAGAATGAGGCCTCCATGCTCAGTTTTGAGGGCATCTAGTGCAACCAGTATAAAAAGAATAGACAAGATAAAAAGTCAAGAAATTTGTAAGCTTCTGTGCAAGGGAGACTTCTCTTCCTCCGTCACTTCCCTCTTCCTCAAAAGATGATTTTTAAGTCTACAGTCTTCTGAATTTTTATTCTCTCTTGCATAATATGATTACACGCTACAAAACAAGCAGGTCTGGAGAATTCAATTTATCAATCTGCAGAGAGGATTCCTCTTCCCTGCAAGCACAGGGAACCCATACTGTTGTCACACACAAGGGTCTGTCACACACAATAGTCAGAGTGTCCAACAACCCTCTGGAGAAAGAGGAAGTTCTGATCTGCACATGTAGTTTCGTTAATGCCTTTCTACCCTCATTTCAGAAGGGATTGCAAAGGTCACCAACTGCATTTGAAAGTTACTGGCTTACCTTAGCTGTGAGAAAGACATTGAAGTGCTCATTAAAAGACAGCACTGGGTGATCAGTTATTCTCTTCAAGAACTTGTCTAATGCTTTCCTCCTTGTCTCCACAAACTCTTCCGAAAAGCGATCAACAACACCCTTCACCACAAATTTTTCAGGAAGAGGCTGTCAGAAATAAGAAAACAGCACAAGATTCAAAAGACCAAAAACTTCTTTCTGTCATTTGGAAACAAACAAAGCAATCAAATTCCAGTTTTAACAGGAACTGAAACATTATGTTTGTGAACAAGAACCACGCATCAGATGGGATGCAAGCAGGTCTGGCTTAAAGCTAGCCATTCCACTGAGTGGCTTCAGCTGAGAGTCACAGCAGAGAAGTCAGACAGTACTCACACAAATACTTGTAACATAGCTTAGATTCTTCTCCCTAGTGCTATCCATGTTTAAGGTCCAGCTCTGAAGAGATGCCAGAAGAGCTCCATGCTATTTATAACAGAAGCACACACCCCCCCTCCCCTACTCCCGCCACCACCCAGTGCTGAAGCAAAGCTCCTCAGCCTCGGGAAACTCAGAAAATTTGACAATTCTACTTATTACCCACACACCCTCTATGAACAATTTAGAGCTTTTGAACAGGGCCCTCCTGTAAAAGGCTGACAGCTGTAGTGAGAACACTGAGCAAAAATAAAGCAGGGGATTGACCAAATGGCTGGATCTTTTCTGAAGTATAAGCACACCTGGTCACCTATCACAGCTGACTTTCCTCAGCATGTTTCTCTAAGTGACAAAGGCCTGATGATACCTCCACTTTCCTGTCTTACTATTTTGAGTCCATCAGTTCACCTCTGCAGTTCAGTTTGACATATAAGCCCAGACTGTCTCCAGAATTGCTAGTTATACAGTACCCCCTGTTACACTTGGATTACAGACTCCAAAGTACCACTTTGGATGGAAGATAACTTTTTAAGCTGATGCATGACTATTTCAGCTCTCCCACTAGATTTGCTTTTGTTCTGTCCAGACAGCATGGACTTTAAGATTAGTATCAGTTTTAAAACTGTACTTTGTATTTCATTCTTGTGAACAGTCCATTCAGACAATCTGCTTACAGTTAGGCTAGCAATGACAGCCATTTTTACCCAATTCGGGAATCAGGATTCTCCTCTGCCAAGAGTCTGTCATCCAAAATCTGTGTCAAAAATAGTTAAAGAAAAATAAACTATATATATTGCTTTCCCACCATACCCAAGCTGATGTGGGTTGTACATGAAGACTGTATCTCCTAGCAAAGCACAGCCAACATGACTTAGCTGCAACAGAGCTACATTTTGACTACTGTATTTGGTTCTTACAATTTAAGACTTCCCTGATTATGTTTAGCATTCAAATCAGTCAGTCATTCTAGTTAAACCAGCATATGCTACACTATCATTAGACTTCTTCAGAAGCATAATGCCTTGTGCATTAGTCTTCAGGGAGGAAGAAACTCTCTTCCTTTTCTTTGTAAACTTTAGCTGGGATTCTAGGAAGTTACTACCTTAGCATTATATGCAGGAGGAAAAGAAAAAATTTAAAGAAAAAAAGAGAGGGAAAGGAAGACTAGTCTAAAGAACCATAGTTCAACCAAACATAAACAAACTGGCACTGAGTAATCACTAAAGTTTGAGCATTTGAAGAATGCACCGCTGTTACAAAAACTTCTGCCATTTAACCTGGTTTCAACTACAGCAGTAGGTACATTCCTTTCCATTTTAGGCCTCTGGAGGTCCATCTCAAGTAATCAAAATGCATGGCTAGCAACTGATATATTGCTTTAAGTGTGTGCTAATTATCTATCTTATAGTCTTCCATCTTAATTTAGTTTTTCCTACCGAGACATGAAAGCAGAATCCATTCCCATCAGAAATGGATACAAGTAACCAAACATGACCATCCCAGGGCAAGAACCTTGTCTGTGTTAGGTTTACCTTTGTAGTCTAGAGACAGAACTGAGATCAGTTTTACTGTTTTTTGAAAGAAAAGACTAGAATGTTTCAGATCTTTTAAAAAGAAGTAACTATCAGTAACTGAGATGAAGAGGAACCCATACAAAGCTTAGTTTTGGTTCCCAAGTATAGGCTATCATAACACACTGGTAAGACATATCATTTACTACAGGAAGATTTTAGGCAGAATCACTATATTGAGATTAGGAAGACAACTCCCTTTCGATATTTTGTTAAAACAGAATGCTTTCGGTGATTCCAGTATCCATAATTACAAATACAGACACTCTTAGATTGTCTTGAAACATCTTTTCAGAAAACACTTGAGCCAGTGCATCTGAAACTGCCTTTAGCTTCTATACCTCATCTATTTCTAGACAATAAAAGCATTCAGTAGTCTTCCTAGCATACCTTGCATGAGGGAGATTAATAAGAGATTCCGTAATTGCTAACTTGTACATAAACAGATAAAATCCTTTATCTCCTTTATTAACAGCACATCCTTTTATCTCCAGATTTTCTAGAAGAAAGGCACCTAAGATATTGGGTTGTTCTGCAGCAGGTTCCATGTCCAGTATTACAGCTACTCATGCTAAGTTTGCTCTTCTGTCTGCAACAAATTCCTGGTAGGAGCAAAGCAGCTTGATTCCCCAGCTGTGACTCACCTTCTGCTACTCAACTGTTATTTACAGCCTTGCAGGCTTCAGACAGAACTGGCTGCCTATTAGTGTACCCAAGAATCTGCAGAAACTGAATTGTGATTGTTCCAGCTATTCAGAGAATCGGACGTGAGAAAACAGTATGGGCACTTAACACATTACACATGCCTCCACCTTACGCTCCCAAGTTCACTGTCTTTCTTTTCCCTACTGTTCAATAAACATATTTGCTACAAGTTAGTGGTGTCACATGGTTTCGTGAAGTACTTCTTATCTCTGAGACACTTAGCTATTATTCCACTTGAGGCAAGTCCCAGCATAATTAAGGACTTACACTGTGCTCAACCATAGAGCAAACTAACAATACTTCTCACACAGGCTACTCATTGCTGAGGGAGGGAGGGAAGGAGAGAGGGCAGAGAAACTTCCACCTCATCACCCACCCCAGACAGGCAAGCTAAAGTATGCTAGTAGTGTTGCTATTTCCTGTCAATTAAATTCCTAAAGGGCTCTTGCTCAAAAGGACTGAAAGCAGTGGTTTCCTACCTATTCACACAAAAAACATACAAGGTAGTATTAATGTCCTCACATCAAGTAAGGTGGTCAGATCAGCAGTTTCAGCAACAATGGGTGCAGTAGTTTAGATAATTTTATTAGGTAAACTTCTACCTACTGAAGACCTGCAATAGCTACCAGGCCAGAGGCTGCGACTTCCAAGTCTGTGCTATTACATGTTAGTACTATTAAGCATTAGCACAAGCAGTTTTAAATTACTCTGTAAAACCAGCTCAAAAGGCCATCTTGAAAACCGAGACTAGAACCTGAAGTACCTGTGGCTTTTCATAATTCCCAGATGCTTTGTAATAATTGAGCAAACAGATTAAATGTATTCTACTTATGTCACAGCTACTGTAGTCAGCACATTGTGTTGCCCTGCAGGAGGCTTTGTCTCACCTCTCCCTGCAGGAAAGGTGAGATAAAGCTCACCTCTCAGGTGTGCCACTCAAGAAAGGTTGAAGCTTCCTAACTAGTCAGGAATGGGAAGCTAAAGAGAATGAAGTCTGTTTTTTAAATCTAGACACATAGCATCCAAATATTACCCTTGGAAGACAAGTGCACAACTATCCTTAACAGCATATTCTTGCTTACTACCTACGGGAATAAGATGCGTTGGCTGCGACTCTTCCAGCTTGTTTCTCAACCAGTCGAAGTCTTGGTACCGCCGACGGACAGAATACTCTGGCAAATCAAACTCTGCTCGTGTGGTCTGGAAAAGAACAGGATATACTTAAGTGTGCAGCAACGCCTATCACTTCAGAGCTTAGCAGCAAATGCAGTACAGCCAGACAAGCCTTGCAGGGAGGTGCTAATCCCCAAAATTTTACAGTCAGCATGAAAGAAAGATCCTCTGGTCTTTCAAGCAGTGGAAAAGCAGCAATACAAAAAATGATTGCTTAGAGCTGATGAGTTAATATCTATTTGTAGTTCGTTACATGTTCCGCTCTCATCATTGTAGAAGTCTCTAGAGCAGAAGCACTGTGCACCACATTATTCTCTTGGCAGTTACAAGATTGCAAAGACTGTATGAGATACTCATTGTGAGAACAAGACTGTTTTAACCATCAAGAATTAAAAGTAAAGGTGTTTACTGACTTGTTTATTCTATGATATGCACTATCCACAGGTGAAAAAATGTTTCACCACTGTCCTGTATTCTAAGACTGATAGGCTCCAAGGTCAAAAAAGATGAGAACATAAGCCACTGCGAGGTCTGATGGACTATTTTTGTTGACTTTCAAGATGAAGAAACAAGTCTGTTTATGTGTATGCCCGATTAAATATATTAGTACATTAAATTAAACCTTTTAAATTTTTCCTTCTTTAAGGCAAGGTCATTACAAGTTTGAGAGGAAAAGAATATGCACGCAGATAAACTGCTGGCAAGTGTTTTATCCAGTCTTTGAAGAATCCATAACCTGGAAGGTTGACTGTATGGGGCTGCTTGCACAGCACATACCGCAGCTGCCTAAAAGCACTCATGAAACTGTGTACCTACTAAGAGTTTCTGCTGAAAAGCCTGGCAATGCAGTAGCCCCAGACTTGAACTGGCATCAAGTCCAGCACCTGGTTGCTTTGCTAGTCCCAACCAGTAGCAGCCTCTTCACTTGCTCTCTGGATGACTAACTCTTCAGTTGCTGTGTTTTACTCCCACCAGTCACCACTGGGGATCCTGTAAAAGTTCTACATATGAAATCTCTTGCTAGGGTAAAGTCAGGAGCCTTAACATGATATCAACAGCACAGTAGGTCTAGGATACTGTAAGCAGCAAGCTGATCTGTTATTACCTAGGCTTATAGTAACAGAAGGCACAGATAGACAGAAAAAGAAATCAGGATCAGCTCCTCCCTTCTTTGACCTGCTAGCCACAGTAAGCAATATAGAGGTTAGTCCATGGACTAACAGGATGAAGCCTCATGAATTGGAGCAGTTGTGTTTGTAGATGAAGGACTATCAAGACCCCAGTATCCACTGCAGATCTGTGCTTTACCCAGCTACACGTATCTCAGAGTAACACCAGCTTATTTAACATCAAAGAGTGCCACCCTGTAAATGTGACTTCTGAGACTTCACTTGAATAATTTTCACTTGTTTCAAGTAACAGAATGAATGGTTCTATTCTAGAAAATAAAAAAAAAAAAAAAAAAGGGTGGGGCAAGGCAGTAATAGAATAGTAGAAGGCAGAGCTTCTTTGAACAGGCTGTTACTGCCTAAAAGCATTTTAAGAGATCAGATAGTGAGTGAAAGAGAGCAATCAGAATGGCTACATACTACAGTGTCTTATCCTGTAGCATGAGAATGAAGGTAAAGTCTCTCATCTGCTAGCACTGTGAAACTTATTAAACATTATTCTGCTAACAGTTAAGGAAAACCATACAAGACTGTCTAGGAGTTGGAAAGCAGGGTTAAGTCCCAGTACACAAACCATACATTAGCTACCATTCACCTCTAAAAAACTGCTCTTGTTGCCTTTACTTCACAAGCAGAAGTGCAAAGTTTTCCATATATCACTTTCTTCCTCTGAGATGAAAATACAGCAGCAATACTTCAGTGTTTACTGTATAGGTTATCAAATCTAGACAGCAAATAAGCTTTTCAAAGACTATTTGGGCAGAACATAAAGGTCCTTCAAGGTTTTAATGAAACCTCACTAACACTGAAAGAATTTGGATCTCAGATCAAACTGTTCATTAGTTTAGCACAAGTTATTTTTTCTGGATTGCATGTAAGAGGAAGGAGGATCTCGCCACTGTCCAAGCAGTGCTGAGGAACACATTCACTGAGGTAGCTCGGGGTGCAGCTGCAGTGGAGCTGCAGGATGAGCTCAGGCTGGGGGAGCCCAGGCAAAGAGGCAATGAAGAGCCAACCCTGGGCACAACAAGGGCCTGGGGACCTGTGCCCAGCCAGGGGACCAGACACTGAGACATGGCAAGAACCGACGATCCCAGACCTTCCCACGCTTAGACTGGTGAGAGGATAAAAGCCTAAGGGATCCTTTGTTCAGAGTCCCTCCTCAGAGACACCAGCCAGAGCTGTTAGTTTGTTATTGCACTGTGATGAAATTGTTTTAATGGTTGGGATGCCTGAGATTGCTATGGAAAACCTGGGGATGGAACCCTGGTGTGACGGTGTGAGCGAGGAGACATAGCTGGGAAGGGGCCTTGGTTCCAGCTCAGGTGGTGCAAGAGTGACTGCCAGAGTGGCTCCTGGATGGCCAGGCAGAGAAGCTTCCATAAAAGACAACAAGTAAAGTATCTGTGTTTTCTACACAGTTATATTCCTCCTGCTTTCTCAGTAGCATTCATAACTCTCATCTTGCAAGGACATGCATCTCTTCCAAAGGAACCTGAGAAACTTATATGTCAGATCTCAACCTCCCAAAAAATAATAGGCAAGACATTTCCAGGAACTTACTGAAAATTCCAGCACTGTTCCACTAAGGTAGCACTACAGCACTGGAAAGCAGGCAGAGTTACAGACACTTTTACCTCAATTGCTGCAATGGTTTTGACTAGAGGCAGTATTAAGGCAATCAGCAAGTCCTGGTCTTGCATTAAGATTCTTGTCTTTCTTGGAAGGAGTTAGCAGCCAAACCTGAAGCTAGCCTGTGATGACTATATGAAAGTATTTCTGCACCCTAATTCTACTCTCTAACTCACTAGACTTGATTGCAGATTCCCCTACATGTTATTATTTAAGCTTGAGGCAAAATCTTCAACTAGGAAAAGAGAAAAATGATAGAGGGGGGGAAGGGAAGAAGGCTGGTCTTCTCAGCACTCCAGTATTTCTTTTAGCCTCAAACAGTTTAGCCTGTTTGAAAAAGACTTTGTATTTTACCTGCTCCTCTCTAGGGAATCAAGATTTTTCATGTGTTCAAGTAATCTCATGGAAGCATGAGCAGAAGGACAGGAAAGTGAAAACAAGACCTCCGCTTCAGTACAGACTGGTTTGAAACTCTCCCTTCAAGCCTGCAAAGCAACTGCATGACACTGAGGAATGGCTCTCAACTGTTCAGACCTCCATAGGAAAAGACACAGAAGAAGGCCTCGACATCCTAGAAAGTACAATGAAAATTAAGTTAGAAGTACACTTACTTATGTTTTCTCAGGAGAGATAACTATGAGATAACAAATGGTCAAGCTTTACTTTCCCCTTTCTTCCTAAAAAAGAACTCTGGTAAAAATCTCCCTAAAATGCGCATCCATCTATCTGAAGGACACAAAGACACTTCAATCATCATAGTCAAGAGCCCTTACGTTCCAGCACAACTTTCACCCACTTTTCAGTTTCACTAGCCCTCCCATGTAAGGAAACTGCTTACTAACTTGCATTAGTAACTGCGTTATCAAGATGAACACAGGGTATGAGATAACCAAGGGGGTCAGTCCTGAATCACTTTCTTGTTAGCTGGAGAATTACCATTACATTCTTTAAATGTGTTCATCCACAAGACAGGCTAGGGAATGCTAACGTGCTTTTACTAGGGAGCTGTGAAAACAAGTACACAAGAAGGATCAATTAAACTCTTAAGTCTTCCTTTACAAACCTATGCTTTTACCCTTCTCAGTCACCACCACCTGCTGACAAAGGTATGAGAAGATGAAAAGCCCAGGGCATACTGCAAGACTTTTTTTTCCCTGTTAGAATGAAGGACCTGTAAAAAGAAAGAGGGAAAAAAACCCCACAGAACACACATGAGACTGTGGTCAGTCTACATCCTCCCTACAGCGGTATTCTGCCACAACCACACATTATAACATTAGCAACTCCCCTCTTTCTCTAGTGATGCTGCTTTTCAGTCTTCAGAATAACTCATGCTGTGACCTATATTTATCCAAACCTTTGAGGTTCCAGAAACACGCTCCAGTAGAGAAGAAAAAACCCCAGTCATCCCTGCCTCTTCATTCGGAGGCACCAGAGAGACCCTTTAGAGGTCTCAAACTTCTTTCCTGCAAGGCTGCAAGGGAGGTGTTGCAAACTCCTCATCTCACTCCATGGATCATTCATGTGCAGCTTTGTGCAGCTTTTCTGCTATGTTTAATTACTACTTGCAGATACAACAGCTGATTGGAAATTAGCTTCTCATCAAAGACAGCTTGTTTGTAGGGCAAGAATGGGTTAGAACATAATTACTGTTAGTCTTGAACAATAGTAGATAGTCCTAGAGGTTCTGACCCTAGAGATTAACCCAAAGTTTCCAAGAATAATAAAACTAAAGAGATGACAATTTCATGGTGATTCAGAAGAACAACTTACTCAGTTTTATAATTGCATTGCAATGGTATGATATAGCACATTTAATGTGCTACAATGAGATCCAAAATAAATTAAGCATAAACAGACAGGTAGGTAGACGCCAAAATCAGAAGTACAGAGTTATTTTTTTAAATAAGAAAAGAGATACTGTTTGGTAAAACTTCTGATCTAAATATGGTAAAGACTTTGGCCATGTTTCAGAGTCCTGCTTTAAAAAGAAACGGAACCCTTGAACATTCCCAAGCTTCGGAACATTATTAGGGTACCACTATATAGAAATACTTTATATGGACAAAATAATTTGAGTCTTAAATTAAGAAACAACATTAGCCAATTCTAGCCATTTCTCTGTGGAAAGCTGCATTTTATTTTGTGTCTCCTATTCCTTCTGATCAAGTAATAGCTGATGGCTAAGCTGCTCCAAGTAAAAAAAAGATACAGTGTTTCCTGCAAGATTAAGATTCTTAGAGTAAAAATGAATGACAGAACTGTGTTAAATGTGCGGGAGGAGATAGTTACTATTTTAGAGAAACTCCATTTTCTCCTGTGCAGTTTGAAAATGAAACTTTGAAGTGGACATTTGGAAAAAAATTATCTGTGGTCTTATCTCCAAGGAAATATTTGCTCCAGTACATACTGCCATCTAAGTGAGCTAGAGGAATGTTAGTCTTTCTGGACAAGTATATCAAGTATATATCAAGTATATTACTAGTAAAGTTAGTGAACACCTTTTGCCTTAGGTAATTACAAATGCCCAAAGCAGATGTCAACATCACCTAGGAGTGATGTCATTATAGTAAGAACAAGTTAGTTAAGATGAATCAATATTTCAGTTATGAATGTGGTGAACTTTCCAGATCACTTTTCATATTAATATATGTAGATTACATTCATGATTGAACTACAACAGATGCTGAAAAAATCTCCAGCCGCTTTTGGTCGACAGCAGCATTCCTAGGCTACTTCATTTTATTATCAGCTGTAGAGCTATCTGAACCAGCAACTGCATGAAAGCTAGTTTACAAATGAGGATCAATACTATGATTTTAGTGGATAACAGAGGAAATGTAGTAAACACACAGCAACAAGCTGAAAGCATTTCAGAAAAGAATAGGCACAAAAAGTGAGATGATTAACAGTGAATCAGTAACAAGGCACATTCCCCTAAAGGGAACTCAAACCAAGTAAGTGTCAGATTACTTAAATGAACAAACTGTGAAGTTAATGTAAGAAACTGGCACTGCAAGTTTATAAACAGTTCTATTTAGGAATTAGAGACAAACAAAATAAACCCAAGTTGACATATTAAAAGCTTTTCCCACAATTTCAGGCACTGGAGTAACAGTTCTGCTAAGAAAAGTCATATCTTCAACACATTCACAAGGTACTAAAAGACACTAAGTTCTTGTCCTTAAGATAGGATAACTGTGCAAGATGTGAATATCCAGCATGCCCTAAAGTTATTTCACAAAGAAGGAAGTACTAGGAAAGACAATATTGCTTTGTACCTTTGTTGTAACCCTGTATGTAATATATGTCTCCATTGTGCACACATGTTTTTTGGGATCATCAACAGTAACAAAGAGGTCTCTAGTTTCCACATCCAAGTCATCATCCAGCTGCAGTCTGTTGAGGAGAGATGAGGAGGAGGCTGGGCTAGAAGTATCCACAGGTGTGCCATTGGGCAGGCTGAGATCCTGTATTGGAGAGGGGGAAAAAGAAAAGGAAGTTTTCTTTAAGCTTAACAGATTCAAGGTAAAGCATAGTATTTTCAAAGACACCACAGACATTACAAGGGTTGCTTGTTTCATCACCTCCAAGGACCACCCTCTTCCAGGACACCTGGGCAACACACTAAAGTCTTCAAGCACTGAGCTGAGGAGAAAGCACATTATAATTATAACCTCCCCTAAGTACAGCACAACCTGCTTTCAATTCATAAGCAAGGACAACATTGCTGAACCTACAGTTCTTGGTAAGACTGAAAACAAAAAAGCTACGCAAATCAAGAGACCTACTTATAACACAGGCTTCAGGCAAAATGGCAACAGTTGGTTGGAAGGCTGGGATGGTTTCAGTAATGAAACTTACTGGATGAAGTAAGCTTTCACCTCTGGAGACTCCTATAGTGGAAGAAGAAGCACCCATCCAGTCCATTAACTTCCATCCATGTTGACAGCAGCCAGAGTCTGAACTGCCATCACTGCACTACAGAACAGTCACAGATCATACTCTCCCACACAGATGTCTAGGCACACCTCCCTGTTGGAGTCCTAAAGGAAAAGAAAATACTTCTTTTTCCTTGGAGAGGTCCTCATTCCCATTCTCCCAAGCCTGAGAAAATCATCTAATGCCTAGAGAAGACAGAGGCCAAAAGATCCAGCAAGTTGCTATTTTAGGGAGAAAAACACAGCAAAACAACTTTATAGCTAACATGGTACATCCACACACCTTCGAATCTCACACTTCAATATAAACCAACTACTCTGCAGTAATAGTTATTGCAGTTGCATAAGTATCACAACAACTTAACATGTTCTTTGCTCTAGTTTTGTAGCAGAGGGACCTGACCGTGTGTGACAAGTTGTATATAAAAAGTCCTAAGGATCAATGGCCCTTCTTTTCAAAGAAGACAGAAGCGTTTTTCGTTTGCATCTTTTTTATAGTAGCACAGGAACAGATTTATCCACAGAGTGATTTCCCTTGTTGCTAAACAGAGAAACATCACTACAGCTAAGCACCACATTAACTAGAAGTGTTTTAGTTACTTCCTAGACCCAACTTGACAAAACTGTAAGTGACTAGACAAAACATATCATCTTAGCAAAGCAATCACATGTTGATGAGACCCCCTCTGTTCATCAATGCTCCTTTAGCCAAAGGTACAGAATCACAGGCAAGAGCTTTGAGCTTGTTACTTACAAAGGTCAGCTTTTGATAATGGCTAAAAACACAGCTAAATTTCTACCAGTCATTGTCACAAACCATTCACAGGAGTACTGGAATTTCATAAAGAGCCATCTGTCTGTTGCAGTACTGCAGAACCATGGCAGCATCACTCTTCACCTTGAGGGCTGCCTTATGAAGTAGAGAAAATAATTGTTTAGACTAGACATTTTGGGAAAGGGGTAATCTAACTATTGTCTACTAACTGAGGTTAAATATGTTTCCTCAGCTAATGTACAGAAGCATCTGCCTACAAATAGATGGTTTCAGATTTAACTGGCAGGTGAGCAAGACAGAAAGGCAGGAACTCAAATGCTCTCAAAAGGGCAAAAGAGCAGGAGGAGCAAGGCACAACTTGCCAGATCAGACATGAGGTAGACACTTCAAACTACACAAGCATCTGGTTCAGACTCAGCATAGGAGGAACATGTACAACAGGACGAAGCAATGGCACAAGAACTCAGTAGCTAAGAAGTTCTGTTGAAATTACATAAACAGAGTAAGCAGTAGACAGAAGATGGCTTCAGAAAATCTGCCAGTTCAGCTAGACAAGAGAATCTGGCTGAGCAGAGTAAAAAGCAAAGCAAACCTTGGGATACCACAGTAGCTGGAGACAAATCTGTTTCTGTTTCCAAAGGAAAAGACAGCTCATCATTGCTCATGTGCCTTAAGCATTAACGTACAAGTTGTGCTAGAACTGCAGCCAGTAATATTCTAAGCTTCCAGTACAACAATTAACATGCAGAAGCACCTTAAGCCCGGTTCCGCAGGAGATATCAAAAGCTTGTAATAAAACTTTCCAAAAGAGAGCTTAAAGTATATGATGGAATCTGCTTAAAATATGAGCATCTAGAAGAAGAACCAAAGATGGACCTTATAGTCAGTTAGCTGTTAGCCAGTTAGCATGAAGTTAGCACTTCCCTCACTAATTCTCTTGGGAAGTAACAACATCATACAAGTATGTCTTGTACATTTTCAGCAGCACAGAAGTCTATGAAGGTTTAAATTCACTTCATTGCACTTGACTGTACTCTTGCAGTCATGGGTCCTGTGGAATGTCTCAGGTGTTAAAGGCTGTGATAGTTCTATCTTGGATGAAACACTCCAGACCTACATCAAGTAAAGCTTCTGTACCAGCAGTGGTTCAGATCAGCAGGGTGGTGGGGAAAGGAGAGATGATGTGTTAGTGTGCTGTACTGCCTCATCTGCAAGATCCTCCTCTGGCAGAGACAGCTGGCATCATACCCTGTTACTTGGCTCCTTTTCAGCAGAGGAAAGCCAACTATTTCTCCTCCTGAAACAGTGGAACCTCCTAGCTAAGTGCACTAGAAACAACACATAGAGCTGCTGAATCCTTGTTTAACAGTAGGCAGGATCAGTTTTTGCTGAAGTCTTACACTATTGCTAGAAAGAAGCAAGAGGCAGGCTTTGAAGTATGACAGTAAGATACCTCAGGTTGTAGTCTTACCAGCAGAGCACCTCCCTATCACATTAACTGCCCCACTTTTCTTCCGTGGAACTTGGGGATTTTTTTTTTTTTCCTGTTTGGGAAACAAGACTGCACCATTTGTTTTAGTCTGCTTTTACCACAGAAAGGAGCATGTCCTGCAGAGCCTAGTGGGAAAGGAGATATGCAGCCACCTGTGTTTCTACTTGTTGGTATAACCAGCATACCCACAAGCATCTGAAATACTGGCTAGAATTATCCATTTTATATAAACAAGCTGGCAAGATGTCAGTGCCAGTGGATCATTCATCAGCTTCACCTTTAGTGCACCAAGTAGCTGCCCATCCACATTTTAAGTACCTCTCGAAGGTGCTATTATTAGAGACCAGCATAGTCCAAGTCACAGCAGGTGACACTGCTTACAAAGCCTTTTGTCAAAGCACCTGTTACTCACCAGTCAGTCCGCCATAAAGCTGAGCAGTCCCACAGCAGAGGGAAGGGGAGGCTGCTCCTAGTTAGCCAGGCAAAGTGACATGGAGGACATGTTTTGTCAAGACATTCTTCACTTCTTAGTGAGTATCCATAAAGATTTTCCAAATTTTCAAAGCTTTTTCTAAAGTAAAGAGTAAAGATCCTTAGTCTCTGTGCCTCACTGCCTCAGGGCAGTCTCAACAGCTTTGTCATCTGTTGAAGTAAGTCAGGTGAAGGTGTAGCAAGGCCTGGATCATAACCTATAGTTGTTATAGTGTGATATTCGGACTTTCAGGCTCATGAGCTACTGCTTCTTGCATACAGTTGTGAAACAACCACAAGGTCAGGCTCTTCATGAATTCCTATGAAGCTCAAGACACCTGAATTTATGAATACAGAAGACAGACAATTTTAGCAGCACATGTTTGGTATCCTACAGCACCAGGCAAGCAGGACCTAACTGCCTGTGTTCGAAATGCAACCTGACAACTATGCAGCCTGGTATCTGGTAAGGTTGCTTCACATTAGTTTGCTAGCTCATGCTCTCCAAACACCTTGACTAGTCAGCCTGCCCAGAAACAAATATTAAATCTATGAAGAAGTTAACTTCATCCAAACATAAAATTCAACTGAATTTTTTAAACTAGAAGTCTGCATGTGAGATTCAAACGAGTTGGGAAGTTTCCAACTGCTGTCATCTTCTCCCAGGAGATTTTCCACAGCTCCATCTACAGAGCAGTTTGGACCCACATGAAGTAGAAACTTCTGGAGCTTGGTATTCAGTCTTCTGCATGGCAGCCTCCCCCCATGTAATAGCTTGCCAGAGAAAGCACCCAGGACTCAACGCTTGAGAGTCTAAATTTCCACAGGTATTGTTTTATTGTTAAGACCATGGAGTCTTCTGCTGAGTTACAGGCAGTTAGTTAATATTACAGTTTCCAGAAATGGAATGCTAGTTTTCACCTATCCTGCCTGAGCAAGTGTACAGCTTAACCAGATAGCTTTGCTGTCAAAGCAGCAATCCATGAGGAAGCAGATGTGGTTCAGCCAGGTCTTCCATGCACAAATAAACTCGCCTCTGTAAAGAGTTACTTACCCTGAACCCATTGTGATGCTGTGGGTGCACTGCTCCCATTCAACAAGTATTGTGTGACACTAAGAGACATTTAGAAATGTTGCTGTTTAAGAGCCAAGGGATGCACTTAACCCAAAATACCCCTGCATAACTTAGGGACCTGAGAGCCAGGCCTATACTGCTCTTAGAAGCCCATTGCTTCACTTCCAAAATTCAGAGTGCTGTACATTTTCTCCTTCTGTTTCAAAGTGTTCCATTGTTTTTTGCCATTCATTTCACAGAGACACAATGACAGACAGAGCCATGTTAAGCAGACAACAATTCCACACAATTACAGCTGTGTTTTGGAACACTCTTATCTCCATATCTTCAGTACATGACAGTAAGTCATAGGAGAATGGCAGCCAGTGACTGGAAAACTGAAGTGATTTAGAAATAAGCATTCCCAAGGTCACTACAAAAGCTTACATGAATTTGGCTTTCACAGACCTTTTCATAACACTCCTTGTCTCATCCCAGCAAGTTTTGAATGCAGGCATTTTTTGTATAGGTCAGCTCCATGCAGAAACAAAAAACACTTCTGCATCCTTCAGTACACATAGATTAGCTCATCTGTGCACAGTATTCCATTAGAAGACCCACCTGTTTGATGAAATTTCAGTCTACGCAAGACTATTATTCAATACCAGCTAGATACAGAAAAACAGAAGAAAATGCATTTACTTCCCCTTTATTTATGTTCAGATTCTTTCTCTATC